CCTGCTCCCGAATCCGTGAGCGCTCCCCAAGGCCCCGAGTGCCCGGAGCTATTCCTTTGGCCCGCAGTCCCTCGGGTGGTCGGGGAAGAGCTGGGGGAGGATGAGCGTCAGGAACCGAGAAAGTCGCAAAGCCTGAGCCTGGGCTCCCTGCGTTGGGGGGAGTGGGTGGGGTTAAAGGATAGTTGCCCTATGGTCACGTCTACTCCGACTGGTTGTGTTGCATTTAAGTGTTTCTTCTTTAATTAGAAGAACGCTGTGAGGATTTCTCTTCGGGCTCTGGAGGTTCCAGTGGCCTGCAAGGCTCTTGTCCTAGGGACAAACGCGTAGAACTCGGGACCACCTCCCTCTGGAACTTGGGCCCAGGGCGGCAAGGAGGGGGCACCACTAGTGCTGCCCAAATACCCCCCCCTCATTTCTTTGCTCAAAACCCCTTTAGCCAACTCAGACAAATGCCTCATCAATTGTCCGTTAAGATTCGATCACTTTCATGGATATGCCAGGCTAAGGTTGAGGGGTGGGAGGGGAGACAAGGCTTGTTTTTGCCAAGGTAGGCAGTGGCGTCTCTTCCTGGCGATGGACATCTGCCTGCGGGCGGAGAGTGCTCCTCCTGGGCCCTGCTGGCTTCCTCCTCTTCCCACAATTGGGAAATTGTGAGGAGGTTACTCAATTTTTGGGGAAAAGGGGCTTATTCACTGAGGAAAGGGTATGGATGAAGTCGGCCTACCCAAGAGGGCCCCTGGGGGGCAGTAGGCCCGGCACAGCTCAGTTTCCCGTCTGGTTGGGTATTTTAATGTCTGGAGGTGCAACCGACAGAAATAGACATTCACAGAGCAAGCGGATGGGGAAATGAATACCAAGAGCCGGCGGCATTTGGGAACATCGCGGCGTCCTTACTTCCCGCTCGGGTACCTGCTTCGTGATTCCTGCCAAGAGGAGACACCATGGAAGGGCAGAGTCACGCTAACTCGGCTTTTACTGGGGCTGTTTTAGGGTAAGTGAAGATGATGATTCACCCTGACAAGGCAGACCTGGCCTTAGAAATGGATTTCCCAGGGTTGCCACCAGCAGCGTGACAGTACTGATTTTTCTTTGTAAAACAACTGGTGCCGCATCGCCGTGGGCCAACCTAGGCCCTTCTTGCATGGACGGAAGAGAATTTTGTCCTGGTTTGCTACCCCACCTTCTAGCTCTAAGTCTAGTCCGAGAGGGAGTGTCTACTCGTGAAGAGACAAAATCCCAGGAGTCGCCAGGCGCCCTACGTGGCGCATCTGAGAGAAGTGCTGAATCGGCTTGTTAGAAATTACACAGCAAAGCCGTGTGGGGTGGAGGCTACTGTCTCGGCCAGAGCACACCTTAGAGCTGAGGTGAGAGGTGGTGTGTGTGTGCGTGTGTGTGTGTGTGTGTGTGTGTGTGTGTGCGCGCGCGTGCGCGCGTGTGGTCGACAGCTCGATGGGCTCTCCCTTTAGCATTTCAGGGGCAGTGCTGTTAAGAGTCTGTTGGAGTCTGGTTGGGTTGGAATGAAGGAAAGTTCTAGAACCATTGTAAGAAGCTGGCCGTTAAAGATAATTTGGAGATTGAAAGTTGACTCACTTTCCCACATTGAAAAGTTTCCCGGTAGGTTTTAGTGCCCATGTCAGGATTATAGGTTCGACTTTCTTGTCCACGTTTCCCCTGACTTGGTTCTCCTGATTTGCATATTTATTGTATGTTCACAGCCATTTCATATTTTTAGGATTTATAGCGAGGTCTCCCACACCACAGCTCTTAAGCCTTCACTTACAATTTAGCATTTGATTTTATTCTTTTTTATTCTTTGTACGATTTCTGTTGTTTTTCTCTGTGTTGATATGTTCTTCCCAGCTAGACCTGGGATACTTACAGGACAGGACTTTTTACTGTATTTTCTATGTCCTCCAGACAGCAAGGGAGGAAAAGGACAGGTGAGGTGAGAAAAGGGTGGGGAAAGGATTGGATAGGTAAATTTATTTAGCTTAGACATATATCTAGTTAGCAGATTAATGTTTTTGAAATAAATCCTGTAATTATTTTTAAATAGCACGATCATACTGTTGCAGGCTTTGGTTGTTGTCTAAATCTTTACTTTGGTGAATGTAAACACTAGAAATAAACCTTAATTATCCTGTTTTCACATCTTCATCTTTTAACATATGAGGGGACTTCAAAAAGTTCATGGCAAATGGAATTCAAAGTATGAGTTAATTTTGATATGAAAAATTTGAAATTCATGCATATTTTTTTAATAATTACATTTCCCGTGAAGTCTTCAAAAACCCTACAGGGGCCAGCAGGTGGCGTGGTGGTTAAGGGCACTGGATACCCACATGGCTGACCACAGTTCAAGTCTCAGACCTGGTGGCTTGCTTTCTTACTTTCTCTCTTTCTCTCTCACTCTGTCCCTGTCTGGTCAAATTCAAAAAAATAAAAATAGAAATAAAAAAAGTTAAATAAAAAATAATTAAAAAAAAAAAAAAAGAAAATCCTACAACTAGCCCTTAGAGAAGCCTCAATCCTGCACTCCTTCACCCGGTCTTTCTGGCTCCACAGCTCAACTGTACCGGGAGCTCAGGACATACCTGTGGCTAGATTAGCACACCTTTGTCTCTTTAACCTGTAGGGACTGATTGACCAGATAGAGAACAGTTTTTGACTTGAATTTATGAAAAACAATAAAAACATACAATAAACGATGACGTCTCCCAGGTTGGTCTTGAATGAAGCTAAGCGAGAGGACTAGAGAAGAACAAGCACTAATCAAGTAACTACTGATGACGAAGTGATTAGGATCTGTTGGAACCTCACCAGTCACTTCAGAGTGCCGGAGATGCATGTGAGTAATGTTTTTACATAGATACTTAGTACCAAGCAGATAAATCCCGGGTGATTATAACTGAGCCGAACCTTCATGCAAATAATTAATGTGATGGCCTTGTAAGGGTTATAAGGTGAAAATGCTAATGTTTAAAGCTATTTGGTATTTTAATTTGACAGTTGTTTCGTAATCAAAAAGGAAGAAGTTGCTATTGTGTTAGAAGTCAGTGCAAGGGAAATGATATTTCTTAACATCTTAATGAACGAGTGCTTGCTAGCTGCCTAGTGAGGCAGGGCCTTACATTCCCCTAGGAAGGGTGCTCTGAATGTACATGAAAAAGGTTCTTAGCTAGATTTCTGACTCACAAATCATACGTAGGAGATGACAGAAAATACTGCAAGACGAGAAGAGACTTGCAAGAGAATGGAGCCCCCGTCCTGCCCCTTGGCAATTTTAGAGCAAATTACATTCATTTAGCCTTCAAGAACCATTAGCTATTGGGCCATACCCCCCTTTCTTCTTTGCTGTTGAGATATTAATTATATTAATAACTGGAAAAAATTAATCTCTCCTGAAAGTTGGAAACTGAAGTGCCTCTGGCATCTCTGGATAATTAATAACGACTTATAGGTGATAATGTAATTTTAATACAGGAGTGGCTCTATTATGAACCTTTTACATCTTTGTGGGTAATTATTATAGCAAACACCATGTCCCTACAACTTTTCTCTTCCTCACTGAACTACATCTCACGTTTTCTGAAAATTGTTAATGTCAAATCATTTAGGGAAAAAAAATCCATGATTACTTTCAAAAAGTAAAAAAGAAACAGATTTCCGATTCAATCATTAATTGTTCTTCACTCAAATGAAAGACATAAAAATTCCAGCTTTTAAGTTGTGTGATTCTATTTTTTCCTGTTTTTATTTTCACACATAAAATATTTTTGGGGAAGATTCAAGTTGCTGAATGTGTGTGGCAGTGGTCTAATAAGTTAATCTCTTTGGCTTCGCTGTAAGGACATATGTTTTTACTTGCAGATACCTCAGTGTAGTTCTTTTATGATTATGTGGACAGACAGTGGAGAAAATACAAAAATATTTCCAAATGTATTTGTGCCCCAAAGCACATTTTGGTCATAAACAAATCCAGAGTTATAATTCCCTAAATATACTGGCAGGAAAAATTTATTTCTATTGAATATAAAAATTAAATTCTGGGGGCCAGTAGGTGGTTAAGGTGCTGGAATCCCACATGGTCAACTGTGGTTCGAGTCCTGCACCTGGCAGCTTGAAACTCACACTGGGTGCATGTTCATGTGTGCCTGAAATTCCAGGAGGATAATGGAGGAGAAGGGATTGCAGTGTGGCCATCCTCCCCAGGGTGTGATTTCTTTTCTTTTTTCTTTTTTTTTCCCTGTCTCTTCAGCAAGCACACGTACCCTGAAGCAAAAATCTCTTAAAAAAATAATTCTGTAAGATATGGTGACTTGTCAAAATGGAAATTCTGCATCCTTCACAAAGGAGCAAAAGAGATTCCTATATTCTAGTTTGTGTTAGCAACAATATTGCGTTATCATTTTGAAGAGCTTTGGGTTGAGGTAAGGTAAACACTCATATTATGAGCTGCTATAGTAAAATTATATAGACCTAGGTTTGATAAGGGACTATAAAACAATGATTCCTTGGTTACATCATATTTGATAGACTACAGTAGCTTTTCATGAAATACTAGCCTAGAATATATGAAAAGTAAAAAGTTTACTTTCTAGAAACAACTGATTTTGAGCTTCTCTAGGTTCTGTCTGGTCAGTTTTGCTCCTGGAATCCTAACCAGGGAGGTGTTCTGTAACTCGCAAAGCCCTATCTTCTAGGACTGGATATGAATGCTTTGATCTTAGAAATCATATGTGTTAACTATTTATCTAAACTTCTGCTTGAACAGTTTCAGAGCCATTTCTACTTTTGGGGAAGAAGTGTTCTCTGATGTAATCTCATCCTTGAAAAAAATCTGTGCCTGAAAAAAAAAAAGGCATTTGCAATACCCAGAAGTCCCAGTAGATGGCACTGAGGAGACTTGTGGGGAAGCTTGGTAATGTACACACAGGTAGGGGAGAAAAATAGGCAATCAATCTTTTCAATCTTTTCTTCTAGTCTAGAGTTGCAGGCTCTGACCTCATTAGTGGGCTGGGAAATGCGCTTCTTTCCTTTTCTTTTTAAAATTACATAAAATAGAACTGCAAACAGAATTTCAGAATGCATTTCTCCTGGCAAGGATAAGTAATGCTTCATGAGACACCCATTTCATGTGTGTGCTTTTACACATGCGTGTGTCCTGAGTCCAGGGTAAGATGTACTTCTTTTGTAGGACTCTGTCACAGGAAAGCCAGTATTCTCTTCCATTTCCAGGGGAGTAAAACATTCCACGGCGACTTCAGGTCAAAGTAAAATGGCGGTGTCACTAAGAATAGAGATGTTGGTTGTGCCTTATTTAAGCTCACAGCCCAGTGATCCCAAAACCCACGCTGGTGAGATTTGTGGTCGGGCTTCTTAGGAACCTTATTTCAAGTTAGAAAAAGCTGTCCTTCCATTAGACTTCTTTCCCT